ACATCAAAGGAGTTGTTCATTTGGAGAAAGTTCTTTAAGCTGTTGGTAAACAGCTTTTTCAAGGACTTTGCCAAAAAACGGCAGATTTGAGATGGGTCGGAAATTGTTCAGTACTGTGGCATCAAGACTGCTCTTCTTTAGGAGAGGCTTAATGACCGCAGTTTTCAACGCGTTTGGGAATGTTCCAGATTGAAGTGACATGTTAACTATGTGAGTGAGTGGTGAAAGTAAACTGTTGAGGACAGACTTTAGAAATCTAGTGGGTAACATGTCCAGGCAGCAAGTAGATGAACTCAGTAGCCGGACATCTACTCATCCCTTATTGATAGAACTAGCCCTGCCCCCGGGAGAGGTGGAAATCTGCTGAAATTCTACAAGACACTGACATGATACCAGAGAGGACTTTCTGCAGGAGACATGCAGAGTAGAGAGCCAAGTGACATAGTCTGATAATGATGCAGCTTATATTCAGATGCGCTCAATAGGTACACAGTCAGACAAATAGTTCTGTATTAAAAAACAGGCAGTTTGTAGTTCTTGGCGCTATATGGCACCATATTAGCACACCATATTCTCACCCCTCAGCAGTAGCCTGAAGAGCTCTTCTATAATTTTTCTACAAAACATGTGTAATGCTGACCGCTGCTCAATCAGTCTTCTTTTCTTGGCTACACAAAGAAAACCTGCAGAATCGCCTTTCATCGCTCACAATATGACAAATCAAACACTAATTACAATATGTGCCACAAGTAGAGTCAACAAATCATTCTTCCTTTTGTGGATTTTTTTCTTTGGCCTTATTAATATTCTCATTGGCTTTTGGAGAGAAATTAATCATATACTATGCACGCAGTGAGGTAAATATATGGATATGAATTCAGTTGGCAGTGTGCCGTACTCCTGCCCAGAGAGTGAGAGAAAAACCTGAGTCATGTTTAGACGGTGAATGATATGAGATCACAAATCTATATCCACATGACCTTTGACCTTTCTTTGCACACTGCTCAGACTGGGGATAAGTGGAGTGTGCATAAAACTTAATGAAAGTTTGATTACTAGAGGTATTAGTTCATATATTGCATTTTAGAGCTAAGAAATGCTACTATCCACTTAGTGTAGTACTGATTTGGCATAGATTTATTCTTTGATGTTTTTTCACTGACACTGACTGTCATAAAATGTGGTGTAGTTATCATTTTATAACCATAGACTGTATAAAGAAGTGGACTAAGAGAGTGTGACACCACCCATAGTGTTCAGTTCAGTCCATCAGTTCCACTCAAATAAAGCTCACAGTGCTAGTGGTTGTAGGGGCGAATCTGAAGCCAGGCACCATATTAGGAACAGGAATTTATTAACGGACAAAATGTCAAAATAAAAACACCAGGATTGTGTAGAGCGGGTTAATAAGAACATGAAGACCAATATTATGAGGCTCACAGCAGTAGTTACAGAGACAGCAGTGATAATTTCTCTATGTAAAGTCAACTGGAAATAGAGTTGAAGGAGTGCCTCTATGAACACTTCCTATTTGAAACTCCGTGGCTAGCGAGTTGGCTATGTCCATTTATATATTAAATTTATGTTTAGAACTGATTCTGGGTTCGCAGCTCTCACTACTGATGAGAAAATTTCCATAGCACAGCTGTTCCAAGGTCCAGCACAGCCTTTATTATATTTCTTTGTGGATAGTTCTATTTATGATCTCTGTCTTCAGAGGTAATGGAAGCACAGACAGATTTGAAAAGACTGTAACACATTACACTAACTGTTCATATCTCTGGATCCCACTGGTAAACAAACTTGTACTGGGTTAGACATTTGTAGTGCCTTATCTCTATTTACAACTCCCAAGCTACTCTCAAATTATCTTATGTACTGCGTTTCAGTCCTTGGGCAAGACACTTGATAAGCTACAAATATAAACATTTTTTAATTCTTGTTTTATTCGCAAGTACACCATTTTGCTTTATTACAGCTCTTGACTCCCTCTTCACATCAGAAGAATAAGAGGCTTCTAAAATGTGTTAAAAATAAGCGCTGTGCTCAACTAATTACAATTAAGAACCCAAGTAAGCTTCTGATTTTTACTGAGCACAAATCCTCTCTTCTTGTTGTCTATTAAAAGGCGCTGTAGTGGTCTGCCTGGCTTAACACATGCACATATGTCCCCTGGTGCAGGTTAATTTACTCTCATCACAGTCAGCTAGCCGTGAAAGTAAAAAAGAAAAAAATTCTGAGAAACAAAATGGAGGGCAGAGGAGGAGGGGTGAGTAGGACAGAGCAGAGGAGGAGACAGACCAAGGTACTGAAGTATTCCTAATAGCATATCCGCCATGACCCGTAACACCCATAGTCTCTCAGATGTTGCACTCGTTTTCCTCCATGGCTAAAGTGAATTATTTCCAAGCTTGTGATTGTATAATAAAGAAAATTCGCCTAATCCAGCTTTTGTTTCAATACAGCAAAAATGTCTTGGCGCCATTTTCCATTAAAAGCTATTTACAACCAGAGCTGTAAAATAGTATGAAGCCACTCATTTGTTTTATTTCACAAAAGAAGATGGTTGGCAGTGTCTCAGGGCTGCTATATCCTGAGTTGGAGAGACCTAGATTTAATAAATAATGTCAATACACTGCCAACAGAGGACAGTGAAATGAAGCCAGAAAACACTATATATACTGACACGTGACGGAAAATATGTCTACTATAGCCCAATACATCAGCTCATCCAATAAAATGTGTGCCGTTGGGAGCTAAATGCATAGCCTGTGTAAGGGGGATGCTTTTGTATGTAGCATAATGGCATTCTGACAAACACACAATTTCTCCATTAAATTCAATGGGTTCTTTTAATCATACATCATTATTACATTGAATGCCTCACAGTCTTTACACAAATGATGCATATCCAGAAATGATAGAAAATCCATTATGGAAAGTCAATATCTTCATGATTGAGTTCTGTTGGACCCATACGACAGTGCAAAAGTCTTGAGCAGGATATTAACAGAAAGGAAAGCTGCAAATGATGGAGATAAGACAAACAGCAATGGTCAGAACTGGATTGTAACTAAAATATTTCTTATTTTCGTGGATACATTTTCTTGTAAAAAATGTTAAAGCAAACATGGGTCTGAACAGTGATCCCATTCCAATCAAAGGTATTATTGTTTTAATGGGCTATTACTGACCAATATTAAAGAAGACATATTATGCTCTCATCTGTTAAATAGTTATAATGTGTTATACCTGTGGGTCGGTATTTATATTTTGGAGATTTTAACTCTTATCATACCAATCTAAAACAACTTAATAAAACAAACAAGTCCACTGACTTTGAGTTGGTAACTGTGGTGATGATTTTGACCTACCCCTTTATGCTACGTCACCTTAAACGTCATCAAAAAGTGCCTCATTGCTGAACCATGCTTATGGATAGCAGTAGTTCACATTTTGTTTTCATTTGAGCCAAAATGACAACGCGTGTGATTCAGGAAAAAAAAGAAGGTTGAAGTAAGTAAAGAGCAGTGGGAGCATATGTGGGGTAGGGGAAAAAGGGAATTTGATTGCAGAAAAACAGGCTGCTCAAACATGCATGAATTACGCTGAAAAATGTCAGTTTTGCAAAATATGTCTCCTTTAAGAGTACAGTGACATCATACAGACATAAAAGGTATTTCCCCACCTGCCAAAACGTTTTGCATGGTTTATTTGTATTTATCAACCAAACATGTCCTGAAGGTTCATATATTTTCATGCAAAATTGTGTAATGCCAGGACAAGGTTATGTATGACACAGGTTTTTAAATCTTTTAAACTGAAACTAGGGCTTCCAGGAAAATGTAGTCAGCCTTGATTAAATTTGGATGTAAAAGACTCTCTTAACAATGAACTGAGTACAGCTTTTGATAGTTTATAAAAAGTTATAATCCTGCTTTTTCATGCTTTTCAGGGTTTTACATTTTCTAAATTTAAGGACACACGACCTGTAATTTGCTCACAATTTGTATCTTCCACCATATTCACTAGCGTTTTATTTCAGACATAACATTGGTGAAAATAAAATAAGCCACTGCACAAAGATGGATTTTGTTCGTTTTTCAGTGCTACAACTTGTATTTTTGTGAGGGTTGGTGTTTTTGGTTTTGACTTACTGTTTATTTGCAGTGGATAAAAAACTGTTCTTCAAATGAAAGAATTGGTTGTCACATAGTTAATAGATTTGATATGTTTATCAACAATTTAACAAGGACACATGTTTGTAATAAAATGAAAGTGCATTGACTGATTGTGTAAGAATTATTTTTACAGTCACAAAATGTGACTTAACCAAAAGAGTCTCTAGCTGTCTCTGTGTTGAAACAACTCTAGCATGAACAAATTAAACCATAATTGTATTTCTTAACAATTTGTTTAATTGTATTCTAGTGTAGATACATTGCAGTAAGGCAAATATTCTGCAGTGTTGCCAAATAATTAATTTAATTTCAACTTAAGAGGGACACAACCAGCAGTGACTAAATGGCAGATAGATGCACACATGTACCCAAAGATGCTCTCATACCCCCCCGGTGCCGTACAGTATAAATTAAAATCAGTCTGTATAAATTGCCTTTGTAGGATTTAAAAGTCTATGGCCATATCAAGAGACAATGTTCGGCCAGTCTTTCTGCCACTGCGAGTTTCCCCTCGTAGCAGGCCCAGTCATTACCTGTCCTCTTCCATGGCCAACCTGCATGACCCCTTCAGAGCTCCCGTGTCAGTCTGCACAATAATTAGCCCCGCTCCAAATATATCTCTATGCCCGTCTGTTCCCTCCTCTTCTTTCTTCCCATGCACGTAATTATATCGCACAATGCCCCCAAGTACTTCTTTCAGCTCTGTAAAAATCCATCACCGTGTATTAAGAGATAAAAAGCATTTCAACTCACGGAAAACATCATTTAGACACCTCTCCGGGCAATTGCACTTCTCTTAAGGGTTGAATGAGCTTTCTCTCAGACCTCACACTCTATGGATCCCGATATGGTGCATGTGCAAGGCCGTACCTCATTCACCAGGGAGTCCATTGTCTCCGAGTTGGAATGGTAGCTCAGATAGTATTCCTGGAGTTGAGAGTTTAGGTCCTGCTCTTGCTTGCGGGTCTTTTTCCTCTTCTTATGGTTGACGGAGTGCTGCTGCAGCTGCCTCATGGTGTTGGGATAGCGCCTCCACGAGACATAAATAACTAAGAGAATCAATGACACAGACAGAAACAGGGCCACGCTCCCTGCAATGATTTTGTGGAAAGACATGTGTTCGAACTGTATCTCAGGGATGAATGTAGTGGGGGTTTCGGGGTTGAAAGGTAAAGTGGTCCTTGTAAAAGTAGTTGGTTCTTTTGTCGTCTTTTTGTCAGTGCTTATGTGATAGACAGGGGGAGGGGTCAGAATTTGCATTGTGGCTTCAGGAACATCCAGCTCTGGAGGCACAGTTGGGAGATCCTGGCTTGTGGTGTTTTTAGCTGCGGTTGATGTGTGAAGTAAAAGTAGAGCAGTGGTTGAGAACACATTGTCCGGGCACGTGGAGTGGTTCCTTATGGCGTCCACCACTCGCTCGCCCTGCGCCCTCTTGGGACCGCTGCAGATCATGCTGATGTCTTTGGCGTCCCGGATGGTTAGGAGCCACACCATTAGCGGGCAGATGCTAGGCCTGCAGTCCCAAGAGTTTCCCGCCAAACTGATGGTAGTGAGAGAGGTCCAAGCCGCCACTGCCTCCACGGGGACACTGCTGAGTTTGTTTGATTCTAGATTGAGGATCTGTAAATTAGGCATGCACTGAAAAACCACCGGGTCCAGTGTTTGTATCTCATTCCCAGAAAGATCCAACTTTTGCAGCTTTTGCCAAATCCAGCGCTCGCCCTGGCTGATGGATCGAATGCGGTTCCACTGTAGGTAAAGGGCCTGTAGGTTGGTGAGACGTGGAAAAAGAAAAAAATTAATCCTGGAAAACTGATTGTGTTCCAAGTGAAGCTCTTTTAACTTAAACAAACCCAAGAATGTTGTTCGTGTAAGACTCCTTAACCGATTATAACCCAAATCAAGAAACTCCAAACTCCGACACTCCAAAAACGTACGAACAAAAATTTGCTTTAGGCCGTTGGAGCGAAGATGTAGGTTTTGCAATTTTCGTAGACCAAAAAAGTGCCCTGGGTGGATGAACTGAAGCTGGTTGTAAGATAGGTCCAGGTTTCGCAGATTAGGAATTGCACTGAATGTATTGTTATGAAGATGGCTTATTTTGTTGGAACTTAGAATGAGTTCCTTGAGCCTTCGGACTCCATGAAACGCCAGAGCATCCACAGTGTTGATGGAGTTGTGGTCCAGGTAGAGCCAGATGAGTTGGTTGAGGTGGGCAAACTGGTACGGCAGCAGCCCCAGGAGGTTGTTGTAGCGCAGAGAAAGGCCCTGGCAGTTCACTGTGATGTTCTCTGGCACGTCCTGGAAGATGCCCGACTCACAGTAGACAATCTTGCCTTCACAGCGGCAACTGGCTGGGCACATCTTCTCCCCCTCGCTGAGCAGGAGCAGGACCGCTGCCTGCACCAGGAGACATGACAACCTCCAGTCCAGCATCCCAGAACCTGTTGGGTCGGGCACAAGGGCAAAAATCATACTCGGCCACCATTTAAAAGGAAGCAATGAGAAATCTAATCTCCAAGCATGAGATTGTGTGGAGAGTAGCAGCTGGATGTCCATGTCACACATCAAAAACTGTTCATGAAGAATTAATGAAAGACATGGATCACTTTTTAGCTTGCATTTATAATGGATTGATCAGACCACACAGAATGTAAGGTTAAAGGAATAATATTAGTCATTTCATTTGCTATTAGTAATTTAATTTGCAGTCTGACAAATTAAGTGACTAATAACATTTTATCATGAATTAGCCTGAAGAGGTTGAAACTGTGTCACAATATTTCTAAAGATGACTTACCCATCCCTCACATATGGAAAAAGTAATCCTCTGAAATAGCCGGATAAGGAGTGCATTAAACTGCCGTCATCAAGGGAGCACGCCAGTTCACATGCACACAGCCTCCCCGCGCATCCGCACCGACCATCACTTTTCCCCTTCAATTAGAAGAGAGAATTAAAACACAAGTTCTTCCATAGATGTCCACACGGCTCTCCACGCACAGAAAAGGTACGCGCTTCATAGTTGGAGCGGAGTACAGTGTGTGTGCGCAATAGCAGCTTCTTCTGTGGGCTCCCGAGCGCCAGTGGACCTATCCCCCATTCTCCTCCTCCCCGCTGTTCTCCTCGCGACGTGCGGTCTGCCTCTCCTCTTTTCCTCGCTCGCCCCATCCCTCTCTCCCTCTCTCCCTCTCTCTCTCTCTCTCTCCCTCTCTGTCCCCTTCTTCTCACGGGTGGGCGTTTTAAGGCACACATATGCGCTATCAAGCTCGTTTGCGCTGCGTAATAATTAGCATTTGATAAGCTGTTGATGTTGTCTGCGTCTCTGTGCCTTATTTGCAAATTAGCTTGTTGGTTGTTTGCCTCGGGGAAAGGCAGCTAAAATTAATACAGCTATTAGATTTGTTTAGTCATTAAAGTAATATACAGCATGCATTTTGTTTATGTGAAGGCAAATGAGGCGTGCTGTTGTCTTCAGGGACACACGTCTCAAACGCCAAATCTTCAGTCTGCAAAGTTTTTTCCAATGCAATTCTGGCGTTTCATTGATTAAGATTCTTGCTGGTCATTGGTGATTTCCAGTCCAACAAAATGTATCTGCAGTTTAAGTAAAAACAAAGACACCAGGGGGACTGTTTACCCTAATTGCTTTTTGATTCCCGATTTTAATTTTTTTTTGCTGTTCTTGCTGCTTTTAATCAGATAGAACCTTGCCTAGCTTTAAATGAGTTTCAGTGCAAGGTAACAGCAACCCCTTGTGCACACAAAGAGAAATGCACACATGTTTTGAGCTTTTGACATTGATATAGCGCCTGCTTTCAGTTAAAAAGACAGGAAACCCATCTAAAATGCCCTTTACCACACAATGACTAGCTATCAATACTAAGTGGGAGTCAGGGATAATTCCAGGATCAAGGCAAGGTGTGATTGTTAATACCACAGCGGGATGGTTATATCTGATAATGCCGAGAGCGCGTTCACTGACACACTTTTCTCTTATTGAATGTCAAAACCAAATCTGCCCCTCAAAGGACTCCTCTCGCGCACGTGTCTCAGGAGATCACATGTCATTCAGGAAAAACTGAGGTAAACCGTGCAGGGGTGTGCAGAAAATAGCGAGACGAAGCATGTGTGAAATTTAGGCCAAAGAATACCATTTGAGAAGAGGGATGGATTGTTCTCTGTGTCTGAGAGCTGCTATCAGTGCATCAAAAGCATCTTATCTTCTTTTGGAAAATCAAGGTGCAGTTTAGATAATGTCTGAATCAGATAATCTAGACAAATAGAAGTGGATATATTTGAAGCAAAAAGTGTTCATGCGGTGGTAGAAGATGTATTATTTATCTGCACATTTTTTGGAGGAAACTGTGCTTTGGGATTTCAAATTGTCACGATGGTGGCAGAATCTTAGTGGTAGTTGCAAAATTGATTGTAGGTAATTGTCCTTCCTCTTTTGGTTAATCATTCATTCATATATATTAATTCAGTGGACATTAGAGGTTTAAGATCAATTAGGCCTATATGTCTTGTCCAAGGAAACAACAGCAGTATGTTGAAATGGGGATTGAACCATCAACTAATTTTAGTATTTTTAGTCACAATTGTAGGAGTAATCTTCAAGACTTTGGCCTGTTTAAATCCAGGCTCTAAGGGCTCTGTTCAGATCTCCTTTTAATACTCAGCAATATAGTGACAATTTGCACATTTGTTTTATTTCACTGTTTAATGTTTTGCATATTTTATGTGGTGTTGATTTTATTGGAAAGCACTTTGGTCACCCCGAGTGCTGTAAAGGGCTTTATAAATAAAGATTGACTGATTGATCTTTGCAATGGTGATCCATACAAGGTTGTAATGACAGCAGTCATTAGTTGTGTCACTGCTAGACATATTATAAGTACAAATCCTTAAAGCTCATACCACTGTGGTGAGCACTTGACCTTAGCAGTAGTTGTAAAGATAGCTGCATGTATATCACAGTAACAGTATTTTTACATGCACACTTGCTTCCTCCCATTTAGTTCATAGTGTGCGGCTGCAGCTTCCTGCCCGCTGTGTTAAGGTGAATGTGAACGAGTATATGAACTCTAATCTGGAGCTTTACTGTCACTAATACAGACATGATGGATGGATCCCAGACATGCACTCCGCTTCTCAGGGATCTAACCTTGACCTTTAGCTTCCCTCTCCGAACAATCCTGGGTTTTACTGAGTTAAAACATAATTCAATAGCTGGGAAATGTAATCTTATAACCAGAGATTTTTAGTCATTTTTCATTTTGTGTTTTTGTCTCAACATGTGACTATATTGGCACAATGGAATGTTACATCCTCTACCACTGTTTTATCACATTTTGCAGATGTTTCTTCAAGATTTCAAGATGTCCACTAGATTTTTTAAAGACAAATTTGCATTAGCCATGATTAAGAACTACCTCATTCATGGGTTAGTTTAATTTTAGACTATGTTTAACACTAATTCATGCATGATAAAGTTCTCGTGTGACAAGTTTTAGAACCACTGGCTCTAGAGGTGGTTTCATTATTATATATATTTTATATTATTATCAAATACAAGAAGAACACTATCAAACTGAAAGGTCAAAAGATCCATGTGACAGCAGAATCTTACCAATTTTCACCAGTAGTAATTCGTATGTGATATATGTTTCTAAACCATAAAACTGTTCCTTATTGACATTTCAATTGCAGCTTTGCTATAAAAAATGTTAACTCCCCCAGGATTTTTCCAGCCCTAAACCATCCACACTCTGCATAACACAGGCTTGACAATGCCCCTTTGCGTCCTTTACATTTGATAACTGTAACAACTATGCAACAGCGGGAATAGTAAATGTGATTGAATGACATGTTTTGGCACATTCCCCATGCATTTTCTATTAACCAAACAGAATACATACACTTGTCTCTCTTCCAGATCAAAATATCTGCCAAGCTGTGACTGCAAATGTCTTTCTTGTGTTTTAATAGGAAACCATTTTGGGGACGAGACGCGATCTTCCAATTGGATTCTGATGCAAAACGGTGAGGCGCTGGCACAATGGGCTGTTATCACCTGCAGCTGGACGGTTGCCGAGGCAGAGACTGATGTAAGACATATACCACACTACAGTAATATGTCTCTGGAGCCATGTTAGATTAGGGTCACATCTAGTCTGCCGTAACAAGCCTGTCCGCCCTCATTACTATCAACTTCTCATTGTCCCACACACTATTCCAGATTTTACCTCAAGACAATGGCAGCACACAATCTCATAAATGTTGTAGGAAATAGCCCAAAATCACATGTTCACATTCTGTTTACCCAGTGTTCCAGTCTGTATGGTTGTTCTTTGCGTTATGGATGGAAGAAACTTTTGACACTTTTGATATTCACTCTGTATGAAACTCCTTTTGCAAGGAACTATACACAGTGGTTAGCAGCCTGTTATCGCCATGTTTATAATGCACTGGCAGCAAAGCACTCTGAAGATCTCCCGGGCTTCATTGTGTCCTCAAACACAAGGCCGCTGGATAAAGTAACAGCAACAACTACTTCACCTGCTACTGAGAATTGAGATGCTAATGTGAATCAAAACAGAACAGCTTGATCAAACATTATACCTAAAAATGAAAAAGTAAAAATACAATAGTAGTTAAATAAACATATGTATCTCCATAGAGTCAAGCAAGTGCAGCTACTAGGCCGAGATTGTTACTATTGCCATGTAACATTCCAAGCTAAGCAATAATGTCTGTCAGACTCCCTACCAGAAAAGTTACACATAGTGAATCAGATCAAAAAGCTTTTGTTGTTTTTATGCTTTTTTTTCTTGCTTATTGAAATAAGGCGGTATAATAACATAGAAAATTATTTAACATTATATGAAAGAGAGCCAGGGTTTTCCAGAAGAATTCTCTCCAGGTTGAAGACAACCATTTTGCTATTTTTATTTTTATTTTTTCCACAGACTGGCCCTTCAAACACCCCAAATTATGTATTTAACTATTACACGGACTAAAAATGTTACTTATTTCTGTTAAATTGCCTAACATGTTAACATTAAATGTAGATTTGCCCAAGTCCTGGTTTTGTTATTATTTAGACAGTTGCCAGAATGTCTATACATTAATGTAACAGTTTGATCTGGCAACAAGTTAAAGCATTTGTCCTTTAGTTACCTAAAAATTTACTTGAACTGTGTAAAGTCGGTCACCTCTGTATCTATCATTAACTTAAATCTATGCACGTTCAGAGACTCAGCAACTCTCAAAGTACCCCCAAAATAAAACAGCATATAAATCAAAAATCAAAGGTTCAGGGGAATCATTTTTTTACTTTGCAATCACAGAAAACTACTTGGTGCTTCCAGGTTTAAAAGTGGAGAAAGTTTGAATCAGCGACACAGTCAGTAGTCGGCAAGGAAGACAAGCCCAATTTCAAGGTCAACTGCATAATCCAAACAAAGAAAGCATTTTGGTCTGATTTGTGTGTGTGATTTATTGAAACAGTGAGTAAAGTGACAGCTTTTCAAGTAGACCTCTTTTTAGTAGTGTTTAGCTGTTGCTATGTAATTACAGCTACAGGAGACCAAGGTAAAGTGGACCTGCGTCAAGTCTTTTAAAATGCCCTAATTATTGGCGCTGTTACACACCTCTACACCGACTAGCTCCGGGATTCATTATGTTGCAAAAGCAGGGCCTTCTCGTCCTGTATTATTCAGGGCTCAGTCACTCACAGACAGTCATTAAAGTTTCATAGGAAGCAATTTAGTGGCTGAGTTATTTGCAAAGTGAGGAGAATGCATATGGAGTTACGATATCTTTGTTGTTTAATATGACATGAGTGTATCTCTTTTAAAGACGCTGTGCTGCTGGCATTTTGATGTGGGCCCATTCGTCACTGTTGTATTCCGATCGTGTCTGGGCTTGTTTGACCTTAGAGTAATACAAGATAAGGCTGAGGAAAACAAGTGGAAAACAAGTAGCTCAGAAAGAGTTTGTTTGAAAAATGCCATTCAGTCCTCCTCTAATTACTCTATGATGTTCCTGTTGTATCTGAACAGGGCTTGTTGGTGGTATAAGCTCTGGACAATATTGAAATTTTGTGTCACGATTGTCACGGCCAAAATAACTGCAATTAACAATAATATCACTGTAACTTTATTATTATTTCGGATTGTTAAAAAATTTGACTTATAAAGACATGAATAGCATCTTATTATGCTAATGTGTTAAAAGATGCATTGCGCAACTTTTTTAGCAGAGAGTCTGTCACTTGTTTGTCATCAAGGAGATGTTATTGCTTTGCCTGGAATGTATTAAACACGTCTATCTAGCATTCAGTCATAACATTCATTCCTGTTGCCCAATACAATAAATCTCTCTGTAAATAGGATTGCGTCTCCACAGATCTGATCTGGAATGTAGACTATAGTTGTCTCCCTTGCGATAGATAGGTTGAATCTCTACCCTGGAACATTTTAGTCAAAGCAATAACATTTCCATGAAGACAAGCAGGTGACGGACCCTCCACCAGAAACGTTGCACCTTGAACTATTGTAGACACAGATTACAACAATGCTTTAGAGGAGAACAAAATGGATCAGGTACAGTGTGGTGGTATAATTATGATCGTCTTTGTTGGTGATTATCACAATTATACAAAATGTACCATGAACCATTATTGTCTTCTGTGTTAATCTCTATAGTTTATTGTCCTGTCCCCAGTTGGTGACAAGGTTAACACAGAGTCCTGCTGTATTATAACAAGTATGAGGCTGGGGCAACATGAATCTATAAGAAAGTAACCAATACTGACCGATAGCCTTGGGCAGTGGTTCCCTAAGTACCCCCTAAGCTTTACATCATACTCAAGGACCCCGATACGTATGATCTAATTATTTAGTAAGCGGGGGGTGGGGTCTCCCTAACCCTGGTTATGAAACTCTTACTTAGGTTTAAGCTGCAGCTCTCTACATACTTAAAAAACATGCGATAATGAATGATTGATGCCAACTTTCTACTAAACTTGTGTGTCTGGAAGTGCAGCATTTATTCTATATAGCTTTGTATGGTGGGAGGGAGAGAATCCAGCCACAGAATCACTATAAGCGTATAGGCCCCATTCAGAGTGAGCCCACCGAAACATCAAACCCACAACCTAGATGCTGTAAATCACTAAATTATTCAAGCATACATTTTGCTATGTATTATTTTATACCTGTCAGTGATAGCAGGGACCATAGATACACTGTAAAAAGTAGGGCATGCCAGATTTCTTTTGGGACTCGATGTGAACCAATGTGGGACCATGTGCATCTGAAGTGTTACAGAAGGGAATAGTATTTGTCTCCTGATATTCATGTATGTGTGTTCATAAAATAAACAGAACAAAAACTTTCATTTCAAAGTGAAGCCAATACAAAAGCAGAGGTTTCTTCCCCAGGCAACAAGACTGTTTTTTTTAATATGAATAATGGTGGGATTTACAAACATACCTGGTAAAGTATGTTCTACTGTCAATAAAGTTAAATTGTGCTTAGTAAAAAGAAAAACTGTAGAGTAAGGTGGTGGGAAAATATAATGTTCTTATTTTGTAACTTAAAAAGATATTAGACTAAAAAAAAGGTAAATTATAGCAACAAGTTAGTTTCTTTTATAATTTCAAGTATTTTCATTTTCAGTTTAAAAATGCACTTAAATACTGTATAGGCCTAAGTGAATCTTTGTAAAGTCAGCCTTAGTCATTCCTCTGTGTGTGCTTAAGACTTAAGTTATTAGGGCGAGCCTGTCCTCTGGATGTACCTGGTGTTTGAGTGTGGCTGGTCCGTCCTTCACCTCGTGTTAGCCCATTGATCTAACAGTAACAGCATCAGTATGTGCTGTCGATGCACTTGGCGACGCTGCTTTATTTGCCTGTTCTCACATTTTTGTCACAAACTGCCTGTGATGGAGGCTAAAATGTTCATTAATGTCTATTACTGGTAATTATGCAGCTCGTTCAGAGGCAGGGCTGAGGGAGTCATTACAAGTGATGACTTTGACCTAGACTTAAAGCCCCATTATGGGATTTTAAAAGCACCCTATGTTTGTGCATAATGCTTTTTGATAGGCAGTGTGTTTTAATAACCCATTGTGTTTTTATAGTGTTAATTAAAATAACAACTTCTAACAGAAAATAACTTAAAAATAAGCACATGTAGCACAACACCATCTGTTGTTTTGCTCCAGGAATTACTGTCAGTCAAGATTTTCTGATGCATTACAGTACTGATTAATGTCATCTTCTCATTTGAATTAGATAGCCATCAGCTTCTGTGATCACACAACATGTATCAATTAATGACTCCAGCAACTGTGGCAAAAACAGAAAACAGAAAATATCTGACTATCTAAGATCAAAAGCAAGACAAAATATAGTCCTAGACTAGACAATAAGGACTGAAATTCATCTAAGACACCCGCACTGGACCGGACTAAACTAGGCCAATACCAAGACTGGGAAAGTTAGGCCTACAATAGCCTAATGTGCAGCTTGAGCAGATCAATGTCTGCGATGTTATTACTTTATGATAATAAATCGCTTATCTGATAGTCATTTAATAAAGTTCAACGTGCAATCACAAGATCCGGGTCTTTGTGTAATGATGTCTAGTACATGTGGGCTATGCATATGCAAACTTTCAATGTTGAACGGGCCGTTTTAATATTTTCTTGTGCTGTCACATGGCATGCTGTCATTTGTGCTTTATTCAGTTCAACTCCATGATCGCTACATGAACGGTGTTTTTTTTTTTTTAAATCAAACTACAAAGTGTAGGGGAAAAGATTTTCTCCCGACCTTGTCCTTCCCGTGATGGACACGCTCCCTGCTCGTGCTGCTCGCGTGGGTTCACATTGTGGTGCATCGGAATGTCCAGCAGAGGGCGTACGGGGTCTAGGAACGAGCAGCAGTGCACTCGCCATAATCCCACACCAGCATCTTTCCTGTTGCTATACAACTGATTTATTCTTGATGCCGCGGTCAACCGGCGTAATCCACTGAAGACTGCGCCTTTTCCCTCAGCCCCTCAGCCATCATCCAGGCGTGGACACAGCTAACTTATCCTGCTCCGGACCACTTTGTACCTCTTCACTTGAATGCTTTTCATATTTCTTCCAGTCAGTCTAGATTCAACAATTGGCATCTCGTGGTTTTAAATGTTTTCACAGCTTTTAGACAATGTGATTTTCAAGAGGAAAAAAGCTTGAGCTCCTCTAGTGACAGAGTGACGGACTAAAATATGCAGCGAGTCGTTGTTGTACGGCGCCTGTGGAAACTAAAGGCATAAAGGTTGAATGCACACCTTCTGGACCTACTTCCATCTCCGACAGGTGTGTGGCTGTGTGCGCGAAGGGGGGACCCGGGCTGCAGCGTCGCGCTAAAAGAGGCTGTATTCACGGCGCGCGCACACATTGTACCAGGGTCCATGTCCAACTATTTGGACACAACGCCGAGTGCTTCTAACATGTGGAGCCGGGACGCATGCAACAGCCAGCCGTGAAGCAGCGGAGGGGGAGAAGACACTGTGCCAATATGGGTAAGTGCGACTCAAGTAATGTAACGGGAATTGTTTGAAGTCTTGTCTGATTTCCTGATTAGATTAACTTAAAAAAGGGGACGTTTGGTATTTGCCCCCTGCGGATTCTGAGTGATGACTGCAGGCTGTGGAGAGGGACTTTTTCCCCCCCAACTCTGTGACAAATCACGCCTGATGCTCCCGGTTATCACTTAGCCGCTGCCATGTCTCAAGAACACGACTTTGTGATAACATGCAAGTGTCTATTTGTCACGGGCAGTATGCAGATGGCGCCTCACAGCTATAGAGACACTGGTTGGTTGTAATATTTGATTTCCTGCTTCATTGCCTACTCTATTCCATTTGTTTCTGTGAATGCTGAGTGCAGGTTTCTTCACCAAATTAGTTTCCTCTCTCTTTATGTGTGTAGGGCTGGCAGTGCTGTTCAGATGGCTTGTGTTCATCTTGGCTGTGCCCGCTTGGCTGTTTGCTGCCCCCAGTGGCCCCCGGGAGCGCCCCTGCCCCCTAAGCTGCAGATGCGATGGGAAAATAATCTACTGCGAGTCCAACGCTTTTCGAGATGTGCCCAGGAACGTGTCAGTCACCACACAAGGGCTGTCCCTGCGTTACAACAGCCTCATGAACCTCCGCTCTCACCAGTTTGCCGGCCTGAGCCAACTAGTCTGGCTCTATCTCGACCACAACTACATCACCGCTGTGGATGGACAGGCTTTCCATGGTATCCGGAGACTCAAAGAACTCATTTTAAGTTCAAATAAAATCACGGTTCTGAAAAATAACACTTTTCATGATGTCCCCAATTTGCGCAACCTTGACCTTTCTTATAATAAGCTCCAAGTTCTCCAGCCCAGTCAGTTTGTGGGCTTAAGAAAACTGTTGAGTTTGCACTTACGATCCAATTCCTTAAAGACTATCCCTATGAAGGTTTTCCTTGAGTGTCGCAACTTGGAATTTCTTGATATTGGCTACAACAGACTACGTAGCTTGACGAGGAATGCTTTTGCTGGACTCCTTAAGCTAGTTGAATTGCACTTGGAGCACAATCAATTCTCCAAAATAAATCTGGCACACTTTCCAAGGCTGACCAACTTGAGGGCACTATACCTACAGTGGAATCGGATAAGACTGCTAACCCAGGGCCCGCCATGGATGTGGACTTCCTTGCAAAAGCTGGACCTCTCAGGAAATGAACTAGAAGAACTAGACCCGAGCACTTTCCAATGCCTCCCGAATCTCCAAACTCTCAACTTGGATTCAAACAAGCTCACCAACATTTCGCAGCAGACCGTGGACACGTGGATCTCTCTCACTACCATAAGTCTAGCTGGGAATCTTTGGTACTGCAACCCAAACATTTGCCCTCTTGCGGCTTGGTTAAAGGCCTTTAAGGGTAACAAGGAAACCGCTATGATATGCGCCAGCCCAAAAGAATCCCAAGGCGAGAAAGTGAGCGATATTGTGGAGACTTACAATATTTGCAGACCAACTCCAAGCCCTAACCCCACCACAACCACAACAGTCACAAGCACGTTTAAACCCAAGCTTGTGCCTCTGCCCACTCAACCCTTTGTGGATAATACGCCTATCTCCAACAGGACAGCCACCTCTACTGCACCCCCTACGTCTACTGCAAGCCCCACCGAGGCCTCCCCAACTATCCCATTACCCGATAGCGAATTTGTGTCCTTCCACAAGATCATAGCTGGTAGCGTGGCTCTGCTCCTATCAGTGGCTATAATTCTCCTTGTTATCTATGTCTCTTGGAAGCGCTATCCCAGTAGTATCAAACAACTCCAGCAGCGTTCAGCAGCGGTTAACAAGAGGCAGAAAAAGACAAGAGAAGCAGAGCGCTCCCTAAGCTCCCCACTGCAGAGTACTATGTGGACTACAAGCCGTCCCACTCAGAGACTATGGACGTGTTGGTTAACGGAACAGGACCGTACACGTACACCATCTCAGGCTCCAGGGAATGTGAGGTATGACCGTTGCCCCCCTACTCCAAAATCCATTTCCACTGCGCGGCATGAGAGGTAAATTTTCTAACAATCTGTGGAAGAGGAAAAAAGATATTGACTTTCTTTTCTCCTCTGTCTGTGTTGGTGTGTACAAAGCAGTGGTTCTCAAACTGTGATAAGGCTCCACCGCTGTTTGCAACTTTTTACACTACAAAACTGAAATAGATTATTGTAGAGTTTTGGTAAGTAGTTGTAGTAGTTGTAGTTTGGTAAGAGCTTGTAGATAAGTCCACGTTTAGAATTAGGCTCACATTAGCTCTGATTTTGGCTTAAATAGGTTACTGATTATGTTTGTGTTACATGCTTATTTAGGTTTCTGGTTCATGTCTGCTTGAGTGCTGGTTTGGTTAGTTATACTTCCAGTTAAGTCCCTGTTCAGTTTGGATTAGGCTTCATTTATTTACTGTTAACTCCTGTCAATCCTAGTTTGACTAAGGTCAGGTTTAAAGTTTTCATTAATGTTAATTAAAAGTTGGATTATGTAACTCTTCTGTTATTGCTTTCTCTGTAATGTTCTACAGTATGGAATTAAAAGAATCTATCATCAAGTGTGTTTAGTGGTCAAAATAATCTTGGAAAAAAAAGCATTCTTGCTGTGAGTGGATTTGCATCTCCACGTCAACATAATTTTGCGGAGCCTCTAACAGAAAAATTATGTTGTGCATCTTTAAGACAGACTTATTGCTAGAAACAATACTGCTAGTTTAGTTCTAGTGTAGGATGGTTTATCCTAATTAGTCTGGTTTCTGGCCTGGTTTAATCTTGGTTCAGGCCCTTCTCAGAAAGTTTGAGAACCACTGGTAAGGAGCTTCCATGCACAGTGACTGTATTTGCAATATGCCTCATCTATTTGTTTCCATATGATTACCCAGCTGCTGTTCTGAATCATATTTTACAGCTAAAATATACACACCATCAGCTTGGAGTGTAGCAACAGCTTTTCTGCCCACAAAATAAAGTGGCTTTCAAGCAACTATGAAATTTTTACCTTTCCTTTTTGGCATAAAACAGCCCTGCATTTTATTAGCCAGTTGGTTAATTGCTCAAATGACCATCTGTCCTGATTATGATGTATGGGATCCAGTTACTGTGCAGGTGGCCATCCCTTGTGCGTTCGTCTTGTGTCTTGTGAGAATTACTGTATACTCTGTGTAGTTGTGCATCTGTAAATATTGAGAGTCATATAAACTAACTATGTATGTATTCCCATCCACTTCCCCACCTCGAGGGATAGTGTGTTTAAGGTTTTACTCGCTAGTTAGTTCAAATTGACTTCATGCAGTCACAGCAGGCAGAACGCAGCGTAATAAAAGCCCTCGGCCAAATAAAAGATAAATTATGCACTCATCCCTGTTTGGCAATGGAGCTCTACTGCAGGAATAGCTCTCAGGCTGCATTATGCTGTTCAGAGATTTTTGGGGTAAAGTTGTATTGGCCAGAATGAGTTTCAGCTTAACGGCACAAATTAAATCTCAAATATTGGATGCTGTTTTGTGTACTGCAAAACCACAAAGCACAAAAGTTCACGACCCCTTCTGGTTTGTCCATTTGTTTGGGATGTTTGCCTGGCTTGCTTTCCCCTGCCCATCGCAGTCTTTGTCAAACAGAAAAAAGAAAAAAAACATTTATATTTAGCTTTTCTTTGAGAACAAAAAGCTTACTAAATATAGACTGGGGCTTAACTTCAATATGCCTGGCTAGAACTGAAGACAGAACTCAGTCAGGGCACAAATGTAGCCACACTAGAAAAAAAAAAATGAATAATGCAATAATGAGGGCACTGGACTAACTACTACGAAATCAGGGTTAATAGGGCCTGGAGGTGGGCCGCTTTTTTGGAAATTTGAATAATATAATCAATGTTGCAGCAAAATGAGCCTGTAAAAAATGAAGACAAAAACCATGATTTCACATTTGGCTAATAGACAAAATACAAATACAAACACATACATTTAAAGACAACACATTTCTGTTGTATTTACATCATATTGTCTGATTGCTGTTACTGGCATGCATCAATTTGCTCCATTTTAGGCAATGTATCCCACTTGTAATGGCTTTTTCTTCTTGCTCACCAAACATCCTGTTTACAGTCCACTTACTCATACACACTTACCAGTAGTTGTTCTATCCAAATCATTTCTGTATAGTGTCAATTTCTAACAGAAGTCACCTAAAACAACAAATCACTGCCTCTGCGAGCTCTTGGCGAAAGCAAATGAGACTCTGTGAGTGTAAATGCCATCCTCATGAACTGTGCCTTACTGACCTAAATTAACCTACATCAACAAAACAGAGCAAAACACAGGCCAAAGCATCCAGACTGATTCCTATCATTTTGTTTAGTGTCAGGGTAAAGTGTTGCCTTCAATACTGAAGTCATGTAAAACAGCTTAATGTCCCCATGGTGAACCCAGCAGCTGCCTGAGCTGTCTTGTATGTAGGGATATGTTAGCCAAGACATTGTAGCTCCCTCTGTGTTTTACTGAGAAAGTGAGGCAAGCAGGCTAGTGACTTGATTTCTAATGATTTTGGAAGGAAGTGCAAAATAGTGAAGATAATTGGTTTAATAGAATGTATTATGCTTAAAGGGGACATATTAAAAATCTACTTTAATGAACATGGTATTCCCTAACAGTTTGCTTACACAAACCTGTATGTTGAGTAATCTTGTATCACCCTGCATTTGAGTGCCCTGAAAATCTCAGTTTTTACCTACCCCCTATCTCTCATCACCTAGGCCTGTCAAGATAACACATTTTGAAACATGATATATTGTACAGAGATATATTGCAATAAACAATAATAGTGAAACTACTTTGTTAGTGACTGAATAACAATAAACCCAGATAATCCCAGTAAATTATTTTTATGTTTTTTATTAGGCATGGGCAATTATTTATCACTACCCGCATGCCAAAATTACATGTGAAAATCGAACCATATTGAACCTTTTTCAAATTTTCAACATCTGGTGTTTTTTTTTAACAGTCCTAGTACATATCTTGATCCTCAAAAATATTTAAGGGTCTACTACACCTACAAGTAGGTTTAAAAAGGGGCTAAATATGGTATGCCATGGAAATGAAAAAGCTTTTTTTCCATTTTTAAGTTCAGAAAAAATGACAATGAGTTGAGATACCAAACTTTCGATTGATGTTATTTGATCACATAGTAGAGGACTACAAGCCTACAAAATTTCAGCCCTGTATGTGTGCTACTTATGGAGATATCAAGCTGTGAAAACAGCCGAGAAAAAATGACGTGCATTTTTGGCCCATAAATTGACACATACTCCCCTCACTAAATGAGCTGTAACTTAAAAAGTATTGATTGAAAATTACTAAAACTTCACAGAGTTGGTACATGATAGTAAGGGACCAGCTGGTAATTTTTTCTAAATTTTTTGAGATTGAAGTGCGTGGGCCATTTGTTTAGATGGCGTGGAATGACCGTTATTCATTGTTCTACAGTTCTAATCTATTTTTATAACAAAAATATCCAAAAGCTCCACATTTTTGCAAAGAAATTGTACACTTGGCAAATATTAAGCTCCAAAATATTCCAGTTTTCATATATATAAGATGATAAGTCAATATACTAATTATCATGACAGGCCTACCATCACCCTCTGCTCTATACTTACAACATTCACAATAATTAATAGAAATGTTAAGTAGGAAGTAACTTGTTATTTAAACAACATTTCTTTCACTCTATCATTCATTGTTATTCTTAAATTATTTGACCTTGATGGCAATGGCATTAGCAATGTCACGGAAATTATGTTAGTAGCAGCAGTAATTAGCAGTAGTTCAACAAGTCATGTTTTCTTATTAAACTTTAGATGTTGTAAACCTTTATAACTTCTTATTCAAACACATTTCATTGTAGCCTTATTTCACTAAAGTCCACATTTGTACCCTGCCCCCTCTGATAGGAGCGGCACAGATTTAGCCTTGAGTTTGGCTGTACCCACAGTGTCAGCTCTCTCGATTAATTGTCCATTGTCCCGGTGCCCCCCGCCTCCTCCTCCGTGCCCCCCTCACACACTCCGTCAGCTGGGACAGGTGCCAGCCAGCCTGACCCTGAATAAGGATAAGCTGGGGAAAATGAATGAATGAATCAAGCTCGGGGCAGCAGGACTTCACATGAGTCACCCTGAACAGAACTGCTTTGAGACATTGGACACTGAGACAGATCAATCTACTCGCGTTTAATTTGACTTTTACGGTCTTGTATTTTTCCTTTTTAATTTAACAAAACCTACTTTCTTTTGAGCTGTGCTAGACAAAAACCATGAAATATGCCTTTATATAACTTTTCTGATGGGGGTCAGTTACCTGCAAGTCTCCATAATGGTAATGCTTTGCTCAAAGTTCCACAGTATGGGATTATACTGATCTATCTTGTTTTTTTTGTTTGTTTGTTTGTTTGGCTCAAACATACAATCAAAAACACAGATCTGACCTGTAACTTTGCCTAATGGTGCCATCTGCTTGTCTGTATGAAGACTTGTCTGTATACCCTACCAAATCAGTTAAATGCCATTAGTGCTCAATACTGATTCCAATACCAGAATGGTAAAAAATAATGATAAAAATCACTCTTTCTTTAGACCACTGAATGCAGTTTTTCAGTATTAAACAATAGTAATTTCTTTTATATTATCATCTGGTCTTATATGTAGTCTCTCGATACTAATTTTATAATTGATTAGTATCTGATTTTCAGTACTTTTGACAAGCCTAAATGCCAGTATAGGTAAAGCAGAGAGACTTGCAGGTGACAGACCCCCCACCAAAAAAAAATTATATAATGCACTTTTGTTTTATATCAGATGCCCTCCTTGACAGACACTGTCATTGGAGTAGGCATTCTGCTTTCAAACTACCTCCAATTAGAGATGCGCAGATCTGATACTGGTATCGGATATCAGTGCACATACTGAAAAAAGTTGCTATATC